GCCATTTTATATATAACATTAAAATGAAACTCTGCATTCTTCCCACACAATGTATCTGTGTGTTCCGTATGGTTCTCACAATAAACAGCAACTGTTTCCCTAAACAGCATTAACCAATTTGGCTCTGTAATGGAGATGTGATGTGTTTTCCGTGAGGTACGGTCTGGAATTGTAAACATTGTTTAGATTAATTTTTAGATATTTTTGCACTTGTTAGGGTGACCCCAGGGAACCTCCTCTGCGTTCTCCAGTTGCCGGACCTCTCGCTATATGTTAGTGTGTATCCGGAAGCTTTTGCGAACGTCCATCTCCACGTAGGTTTTCTTGGTTCTCCTCCGTCTTTCCAAGCAAAAGCTGAGATGGTTCCCAAGTTCCTACTGCGTGCTTCTCATGCGGCCCATCCGACTTGAATTTATCGTAATTAAACCCTTCTGCTGTAAAGGATACTAAATTGTCTCTCCAAATTATTAAATTTACCTCCAAATTCTTCGGCCCTTATTTGCAGTGATTCACGTAACTTACTGTTTAATTTAATAAAAAAAATTGTTGTGAACACCCAGGCTAGTGAGGATTGCACCCGTCCTGAATAAACTCCATGCCCGAAACTGACGTAGCAGGGTATATTCTCCCTCTTTCCTTCTCACTCTTTCTCTCTCACTGTCTGAAGGATTTTATCGAAAGACCAAAGAGGCCCTGACCTCAAACCTCCACAGCCAGACATTATGTGTCAGTTTCCCCAGTAAATGGGTGCACACGATAGCACTATGCTACAAGCCGGAAGGTCGAGGTTTCGATTCCCTGTGAGGTCATTGGATTTTTCAATTCACCTAATCCTTCCAGCCGCTCTATGGCCCTGGGGTCATCTCAGCCTCTAACAGAAATGAGTACGAGGAATTTACCTGGGGGTCGACGCTTATGGCTGGCAACCTCACCGCCATCTGCGAGCCGATTTTCAAGAAAATGTGGGAGCCTCGACGTCTGAAAACTCTGTGGACCTCCACAGTCCTGTTACCTTTACTTACTTTTTATCCTAAGCTACTTTTTCATATTTAACAGGCGATTACACAAGTCACTTACACTTAGGCGGATCGCCGACAGCAGTACGCATGTACGCCGTGACATGAAGAGTGCTTTCATGTAGTCACATTAATTAAAGATGGGCCTAACTTTGTCTCAGAGTCTTCTGCTGTGAAACGGCTGTATCACTGCATTGCTAAAGTATTAAATGAACAAGTTTGTTTCAATGAATGATAATACAATTTTGTAAAGTTGTTGTTCTCTTGTGAGGCGACATTATGCAAGAATTGAAACAATTACAGTTCCATCCTATCTGAAATTCCTTAAAATAAGTTCAGAGATATTGTTCAGAAATCGCATAGCATGGAAATAGCTATTGTATCAGTCACATCATAAGAGGCAGAGGAGGCCTATCTGATTAACCCTATACACAACAGAGACTGCTGTATGCTGATCAGAGTGGGTTCGAATCTCATTCGAGGTGTCGATGTCTGTCCGCGTTTCTTCTGTGTTCATATTGTCCTGTGTAGGTAGCGGCCTTGCGGCGAGCTGATTCCGGATTAACTCTGATGGAAAGCAGGCCAGAGAACATAATACGAAAGCAAGAATAAGAAAAACACTGATTTTACAACTTACTTTAACACAATCATGCATTCTGCCCACTAAGTGTATTTATGTGTTCCGTATGTTTCTCACAATAAACAGCGACTGTTTCGCTAAACAGCATGAGCCAGTTGGGCTTTGTAACGAGACGTAATGTGTTTCCTGTGAGGTACGAACTGGATCTGTGTGTTCCGTATGGTTCTCACAATAAACAGCATTAACCGGTTGGGCTTTGCAGCGGTGACGTAATGTTTCCTGTGAGTTACGAACTGGATCTGTGTGTTCCGTATGGTTCTCACAATAAACAGCGACTGTTTTCCTGAAAATCTTTAACCGGTTGGGCTCTGTAGCGAAGCCGTAATGTTTCCTGTGTGTTCCGTATGGTTCTCACAACAAACAGCGACTGTTTCCCTAAACAGCGTTACCCGGTTGGGCTTTGCAGCGGTGACGTAATGTTTCCTGTGAGTTACGAACTGGATCTGTGTGTTCCGTATGGTTCTCACAATAAACAGCGACTGTTTTCCTGAAAATCTTTAACCGGTTGGGCTCTGTAGCGAAGCCGTAATGTTTCCTGTGTGTTCCGTATGGTTCTCACAACAAACAGCGACTGTTTCCCTAAACAGCGTTACCCGGTTGGGCTTTGCAGCGGTGACGTAATGTTTCCTGTGAGTTACGAACTGGATCTGTGTGTTCCGTATGGTTCTCACAATAAACAGCGACTGTTTTCCTGAAAATCTTTAACCGGTTGGGCTCTGTAGCGAAGCCGTAATGTTTCCTGTGTGTTCCGTATGGTTCTCACAACAAACAGCGACTGTTTCCCTAAACAGCGTTACCCGGTTGGGCTTTGCAGCGGTGACGTAATGTTTCCTGTGAGTTACGAACTGGATCTGTGTGTTCCGTATGGTTCTCACAATAAACAGCGACTGTTTTCCTGAAAATCTTTAACCGGTTGGGCTCTGTAGCGAAGCCGTAATGTTTCCTGTGTGTTCCGTATGGTTCTCACAACAAACAGCGACTGTTTCCCTAAACAGCGTTACCCGGTTGGGCTTTGCAGCGGTGACGTAATGTTTCCTGTGAGTTACGAACTGGATCTGTGTGTTCCGTATGGTTCTCACAATAAACAGCGACTGTTTTCCTGAAAATCTTTAACCGGTTGGGCTCTGTAGCGAAGCCGTAATGTTTCCTGTGTGTTCCGTATGGTTCTCACAACAAACAGCGACTGTTTCCCTAAACAGCGTTACCCGGTTGGGCTTTGTAGCGGAGACGTAATGTTTCCTGTGAGTTACGAACTGGATCTGTGTGTTCCGTATGGTTCTCACAACAAACAGCGACTGTTTCCCTAAAGAGGGTTAACCGGTTGGGCTCTGTAGCGAAGCCGTAATGTTTCCTGTGTGTTCCGTATGGTTCTCACAATAAACAGCGACTGTTTCCCTAAACAGAATTAACCGGTTGGGCTCTGTAGCGGAGACGAAGGAACTGGCTATATAAATATTATTTAGATCAACTTCAGACATAACGTTATAACGCCTACTGCGATTCTAGTAAGAATTAAACTGAGAGTGTTTGAGAGTAGTGTTTGCTGTGGATAAAGGTCAAGCTGCTTATAACATACAGGTAGAGCTGTCCCTGTAACAGGCCTTGGAGGCGCATAGGTTTGTGAGACATCGAGGCTCCCACATTTTCCAGACAATCGGCTAACAGATGGCGGTGAGGTTGTCAGCCTTACGCGCCGGCCGCCCTTTACCACCAGGAGGATTCCTGGTACTCATTTCTCTTAGAGGCTGAGTCGAACCCAGAGCCATAGTGCGGTCGGAAGGATTAGATCGATTAAAATTTCCAATGACCTCATCGGGAATTGAACCCGCAACCTTCCGGCTTGTAGCATTGTGCCTCAAACAACTGCGCCACCGCGTCCCTACCGTATATGTGTGTGTAGGCCTCTATAGTGATATGAAATCTGTACACATTTAGCCCTCCATTAGAAATTCTACTTGAGAAATATCGAGCAATATCACATAATTAGCCGATAAAATATTAAAAGAAATATGTTCTTAGAAATATGTATTCCAATCATTAATCCCAATGTAGGGGCCTTCTAATGTTAACAAACAAATTTATTGTTTTAGTCGCACGAGACTGAGTCCCTTGGTACTGTAATCCCAGACATGTACAGCCTCTGATGACAGAATAACTCTGAGAGGAAAACCGCGAATCAAGGAGAAAAAACCGTCTCTAATGTCACTATATCCATCACAGATCCTACCTAGATTACCTTGGGATTGATCCCGGGTCTTTAGGGCTGTGGTCCAAGGCACGGCTAACAAAATAGACGTATGTGGCCATCTTCAGGGATGTGATCTCGTGTAGTCTGGTAGATCGTTACACATGTATCGGAGGAACATGCACCTCCATTTTCATTATCGTGAAAATAGAGGCAGAATATTGCCCCGAAATATTTGTAATTATCTGCCTGAGTATATGATATATCCCTGAAGTCAGTAACCTTTACTATATATAATAAATGTATTTTGAAGTGAAAATATCAACACATGTTATAACGTTAATTCGACATAAGTTTAGAAATGCAATTTTAAAACCAAAAATAATTACTACAACATTTCATTTTGAACTGTGAGCACTATTTTAGCAATACTCTATCTGGCTGTCTTCCCGATTAGCGACACCACAATTCACAATAAAACTATTATTCATCTATACGTTTACCGGAAACCATCACCGCGCATGAGCACAAACACTTCCGTTGTCTCCAGACAATCTCTAATCGCCTTCGATGATTGCTTCAGATTCGGTAACGAATATTATTGAATTAAGCTTCCCGTTGGCCTGTGCCTGACGTCACGTCCACTAAATTGCACTAAACACGCTAAACACTAAGTAAATGAGTTATTCAATGACTTGTGGCTTGAGGCCGCGCAACAAAGGTTCAGCCAAAACAAGAACTGCCTGGGAAGGGGAGGTGCTTTGCCAACATCCCCTCCCTCACCGTTAAACCCCACCTCTAAGTCGCTACGCCCCGCCTCTTTTGGTAGCCAACAAGTTCAACATGTGTCGGAAATTAATGTGGTTATTAAGCCACAAGTTCGTCTAGATATTATTTAAGAATCCAGCCCGTACCTCACGGGAAACACATCACGTCTCCGCTAGAAAGCCCACCCGGTTAATGTTAAAGTAAAAGTAAAGATTTTTTTTTTTTGGTGGGGGTGGAGGTATAATTCCATATATTCTTGACCTCGGCACTAGATGGAAATGAGTGGTCAGCTCCACGCCCCTGCCGCTTCATCCCCTGGAACACCCACACGCAGCAACGGTAATATCTGTACTGTCCCTGTCTAGAGTTATATAAAAATGTAATGTAACGGTGAGACGACAACTTTCAAATTCAGAGTTTCTGGCTAAAATAGTGGCGAAATATCGAGAACCATTAATAGGTTTCATGAACGTATATTATGTAGTAGTTCATGAACGAGTGTGCAGTCATTTAGTTCAGTGTATCGTGTATATTCTGTGAGCATTGCTAATATTTTGATGTGAATGTATAAAGTGTAGTATGCCATATAAAGAAAACGGTTTATGACGGACGTCTTGAGGGTGTTATTGGTGGGAGATGACAGTAAACGTCGGTCTCGGCGCATCATTCGGTAACGTGTAGGACTGTAAAGGGATATGGGACAAGGAAGAAATTATTAGCACGAAAGATTACGTAAGAAATGACGAGAATTATGTACGAATTCTCGACGTGTGTTGCGTTAGTCTTCCTTAAGGAAGGAACTTGTGCTAAGGAGAAAAAGAGAACGAAAGAGGGAGAGGAGTAAAGGCAGGAAGAAGAGAAATGTGGGTATTAATGTATGAATTGAATGAACTTAGAAGCGAATTCGCAAGTAAATTAACTAACAAGAAACAAACAGCTTTGGCCTGACGCGCAGTCTGGCGGGGAAAGCAGTACTCACTGTTCGCCCGCTGCAAGGACTGTCCGTTCTTGCATTATGCTGCAAGCCGGAAGGTGGCAGGTTCGATTCCCGATTAGGTCAACAGATTTTTCAATTGACCTAATCCTTCCAGCCACACTATGGACCTGGGGTCGACTCAGCCTCTAACAGAAATGAGTACCTGGAATCTTCCTGGGGGTAAAGGGCGGCCGGCGCGTAAGGCTGACATCCTCACCGCCATCTGTGAGCCGATTGTCTAGATTCTAGAAAATATGGGAGCCTCGACGTCTCACAGCCCTGTGGGTGTCCACAGCCTGTTACAGGGATAGCTTTACCTTTTTTTCACTCCCCATTTTCGCAAATGTCGGTCGGCCAGGAGAACCACTTTCCTCAGTATACCAAGTACGATTTGAGGTTCTCACACCGGTGGTTATGAATATATAATCTGGGGATATAACGCTGTGTAGTCCAGTGAAAGCCTTTCTTGGCTTATTCCTCGATCCTGAAAATGGAGGCGATATGTTCCTCCGAAACGTCGGCTGACTTTCAACGGACTACAAGGCGTTATATTCCAGAATATAGCACTCTCTAAGTATCCATGTTTTTCCCAGTCACAAATGCCGAATCTCTTCAAGACATATACTAAAATTAGAATCACACATCCCTGCATACACGACCATAATATACATTGTATTTTGTGACGCCGTGAAGTCCGGTTGGAGAAGTCATCAGAATGAGCTGTTGAGGTGTCTGTGAGACGCATCGCATTCGCGCTGGATCTAGAGCCATAGAACAGGTAATGAACCGGCTGTTATGACAAGACCAATGACGCGCTCTCACAGCTGCGTCAGGCGCTGGGCACCTGTTGGCACTCTGTCACACACGCCACACGCTCCCAGCAAGTCACATCCGATATGAACATCTTCACAACAGAGGACCAAACTAATTTCTAAACTATTTATATTTTGACATGTAGACCCGTTGCTAGGGAACGACTCAGCAAACAAGCCAGCAACAAATAATCAACGATAGAGTAGACCAATTTCTAGGCAACGCCAGAAATACACGTACCAACAATAAGGGACATCCGTTGCTGGGTAACGGATGTGTCCTGTGCTGTGATCAAACCTGAGTCTATATAACGAGAAGCCAAGAACTCCTCTTAATTTCCTCCTGAATCAGGTTTTGATTTATTATAGTCGTTTCGAAAGTTCGTATCTGAACTGTGCCACATGTTCAAAACATGATGGTACATTAGTACAAATATTGTTTCTGGGCATTATCCATCATCCTGGCTTAATCTAAAAGACACCGTCCTGTTTATATTTCAAAACACAACGTTTCGGAGACTGAGTTATGTCTCCGTCTTTAAGTGAAACCTACTCAGTTGGGCCCAATCTATAGAGCCGCTCCCTATGGCCGGACACCTGTACCAGCACGAAGACTCTGAGTATTCAAGCCAAGCATAGCACAACCATCTGCGAGAGCTAAGACAGAACATTCAGTTATTAAAAATCTACACCTATGGGGTACCAGAGAACTATCACGATAGAAATCATCACTGGAGAGATAAAAAATACTTATCGTGGTACCAACACAAGAAAAACAAAATTTCCCACTCAATCTACACTAGACGGATTTGTAGTTTCTCGACTTCTTGTCACCTGAAGTATGTCACAATAGAAGCCAGTAAGTTTATAATGGTGACGTCACTAGCTGACTATGACGTAACCTCGATTATACAGTGCATGAAATATAGACGAGGGGCAAGCCATATAAATGACTCTCTGTTGCTGTGCATATGTCTTGGCTTTCCTTACGAAAACATTGGCGTGATGTGATTTACGGAACGCATGTTGCGACGCACGGCCTGCTGGGGAGCAAGTGAGAATCATCACCCGCGCTTTTGTATGCATCACAACGAAATTCCACAGATTCTACGGGGCTCGATTGTACCGTACTCGTTTATCGCTATATAATGAGCTCTAGTATGGCACAAGTAGCTGTTTTTCTTTCGAGATATTACCTCTACAATGTACAGCAGCTGAGACTTCAAACAAGAATTAAGAAATTAAAATTTACTTATGAAATTAGTGAAAATACTTGGAATGAGGATTTGAATTTCATTTTAATACTCTACCGAAACAGTTGCACAGCGCTTTAACAGCCGTTGCTACCGTACATATTGGTAACAGGACTGAGAAAGTCATATAGTATGAGGGGTAGGCCTTCTCGGCCCTTGCACCGCGACCTACAGTGGTCTATTTTGTTTAAGTCATATAGTATATTCACGTAGAAAACAGGAAACTATTTAACTAATAGCGTATTTACTTACTTACTCTCCATAATATGGAGCAATAGTTAGTTAGTTAGTTAGTTAGTTATTGGAGAGGGTGGGTTTCCCCATGAACTGAGACCTGTATTGTTCCATTGTGCTTCCCTCTATGATTTCTACCAGTCTCTATATCCTACCCGTACTGGTGCTTACCATCAGTCCCGCCCAGCCAGCGAGACCGGCTCTACTAGCTGAGAGGTATCTATAATGCTTCCCCCATCTACCAGAGGTATTAGAGACTGCTGTTGGGCGGGAAACGTCCGTTAATTTGGCTCAGTGACCTCCTTTGGAGATATGAGGTTCTTTTACGTGCCGTAAACACGGGACCCACGGCTTAAAGTCCCTCCCGGAGGACTTGTTCCCTGAATTTTTCCGTCCTTAAAAATTCGACGACCTCCGCCGGGTATTTGAACCCGCGTACTACGAGTCATGAGGTGGGAACGTTACCTCTAGACTACGGCGGCCGCTCTATGGAGCAATAAGTAAATTTGCTCTAAGTAGGCGTCTTGAGTAGAGAAGGCATCCACTGATGATACTCTGACAGGCCTGTAGAGGAATGGTGATGGTTTTAATCTTCCTCATCTGCGGGTTGCGGTAGGTCAGACTGTCACTGGCTCCTCAATCTTCTTACATTTGGTGGGCTGCTAATTTCTGCATCTAGTCTGTTATTGTGTCCGAGTATGCCTTGATGGTAGAGTCTTGACAGTCTATGTATTTCTTCTGTGACAAATGGGATTTGCAGATCAGTGTGGATAGTAACGTTGGAGACATATCAAGGCGCTTTAGTTACTGAGCGCAAGAATTTGAATTGAAGTCTATGAATTATTCTTGTGTTTGATGGTTTTGTACAGCCCAATAGCTGCATACCGTATGTCCATATGGGTTTTATTATACACTTGTATAGTAGAAGTTTGTTTCCTATGGATAGCTTGGATTTATGGCCCAAAAGCAAAGACATTTCTCGTAGTTTTAAGTTTAACTTCTGACGCTTTGTTTTGACGTGTTTCTGCCATGTCAATTTTTGGTCGAAGTATAATCCCAAGTATTTTACCTTGGTTTGGATCTGTATTTGCGGGCAAGTTATGCGTTTCGTGGCAAATGTAACTTGTACTGTAATTTTGAAGCCGCGAAAACAAAGTAGAACTGTTTATAGAATGTGAAAATGCAACTCTAAAAGTTCTATTGTTTATATAATCAATACTGCAGAATGATAACAACTTTAACATGCACGCCTTTCGTGGCACGTAAGGTTTGAAAATTATAGGCCACTGAAAATCCGACAAGAATTTACAATTGTTCTGTATATTTCGGAAATATGATACAAACTGCCGGTAACCAATCTATTATTGTGCTTCAGTATATCAGTAAAGCAACAGCACGTAGGGAAATTGCATTTTGTTTAGTTGCCGGACTTCTCGCTAGATGTCGGTGTGACAGTTGCGTGGCGTCTCTGCACTACGTGACGTCCAGATGTTTACGGTCGTTACGCTCATGCATCGTCTTCATATCTCTTCATGATATTCACAACATCCTCGTAGACAAGAGAATTGGCATCTTTGCCCCACATGAAGTCCAGGTGATTGAATGTCTTCAGAGGCACTCGAAAATTGCCGATCACGTTAGACAAGGCGCTGAAGACCTTATTTACGTTCTGTAACGAAAATAATTCAGTTCTTATTTATGTACGTGGTAACTCAGCAGTCCAAGGGCCAGTTACAAAGTAAAGAACAAAGCAGTTTATATCATCTGACTAATAAGACAGTAATAATAATAAAAACAAATATTATAATTAAGAAGAAGGAAAGAGACTATTAGGAAGACCAAGATATAGGTGGGTGGACAATATTAAGATGGATTTTAGAGAGATAGGATAGAGTGGTATAGATTGAATTGATGTAGCTCAGGATAGGGACCAGTATAGGGCTTTTGTGAATACGATAATGAACCTTCGGGTTCCATAAAATACTGGGAAGTTCTTGAGTAGCTGCACAACTGGCGGCTTCTCCAGAAGGGCTCAGCTCCATGGGTGAGAATAATAATAATAATAATAATGAGAAGAATAAGAAGAAGGTGACAATGATAATAATAATAATGTAATTCAAATCTTTCTTATTTATGTACTGAGCCAACAGCCCCAAGGCCAATTGCAGACACAGCACAGTGTAGGTAGAAGTAGTTGGAANCTGCTTTCGCTCGTTCGGAAGCCGGGATCGTGGGTTCGAATCCCACACAATGCATGGATATTTGGTGTATGTGTTTATTCTCTCTTTGTGTTGTCCTGTGTTTAGGTAGAGGCCTTGAGACGAGCTGATCACCCACCCAAGGAGTCCCACCTTCTGTAAAATGATCATGAAACTGAAAAATCAGAGGTCAGGGCCCAAGGGGGCTGTAGCGCCAGTGAAAGAAAGTAACACTTAGGTAGTAGTTTAGAGGTGATATAGGATATGCTGATGTGCTGCGGTTTAGCTAATTGTGGTTTAATTAAGTTACATTGAACCTGTAAATCATAGTGCGACATTTCCACCGGGATTTGATGGTAGCGACTCCTCATTTGTGTTATGTGTGAATCCCAGAGCGAGAGGAAGAATGTAGCACTGTTGTTCAAAAATGAATTTAAGCCTCAGACCCCGATACTTGTCACGACCTCGAGGTACCACAGCACAGCCATGAGAGTCTTAGTAGAAACATACGGACGACTATCTGCCAACGCTGTTTCGAGGCGGACAGCGCTGAGCGTTAACAAGAGGATCATCAAATCCCCCGGAATTGTAAGATAACCTAGAGAACTACAATAAACAGTCTTACGTATATGGGTGCAAGCTTGTCGTTATCACTGTGGAACATGGCGACAGGCGTTGTCACGTGACTCATGTTGTAGCGCGGAGGCGACGGCTGTCCGTAAAGTTCCATGTTCTTCTCTGTGCCGAAGTCGAACTGGCAGAATTCGCCTGTAAAATATTACGTCACGAGTTAACCTGAGGCCACATGACAACACCGTTAGTTTACCGTAAAATTAGGGGACGTCAGGCAGATGGACACGGGGCAAAGCGACGCTGTCTGCACACCGACGGATTTCTAACGTCCATTCGCTGCTCGGTTTCGTATATGAAAGGTTTATAACTATCTTCATATTGTCACGTGTTTGTGACTATACACGGAGTTTGGATTGCTAATTGGATTTTTGGAGTCTTACAGACCGTTAACTACAATTATTTATAGTTCTCACTAATTTACACACGCTAGAATTCACTACAGTACCCACTGAGACTTCTCAGTCTCCTGTTTCGTCATCGGTTGTCGCCTGTTAACGGCTCCCAGCGCCGTATATTCCTCAGTTTCCATATTCCAGGCTCCTGTCCTCGCTGGTTGGTCAAGGTCAGAACCAGAGTTACGTTACCTCTGGCTGTTTACAGTCAATCAGTTCGTCTTGGCGCCAAGACCCTTGAGACTCACGACCAGAAATTTTTCCCAACTGAACCCTTGCGGTAATAGTCCTTATGTAACATCCTCTCTCACGAGAAGATTGGTTTGTCTCTTATGAATACGCTTGGCCTTTCGTCAAGTGTATATTTCGCACATATAGCTCCATATAGCTCGTTATTGAAACTTCTTCCTTTTGTCAGTACGGGCTTTACAGAGCAGATCATGCGTAACTTACATATCTTATGGTACAAGGGAGCTTAGTCATTTGAACGGTCGTAAGCTTGATCACCGCCGAGTTTAAGCCTCGAAAATTTCCTGTGGTTGGCAGAACTTTCTTTTGCATGCGCTGCAATTTTAGGAGGTAGGTGCTTGCCCCTAATTCCCAGGCGGGACAAGCGTAAGTCATTACTGATCTGGTCAGTGCCTTATGGAGGTTCAGTTTAATGTTGGCACTTAAACTCTCTCTTTTGTGAAGTTCTAAACACGGCTGACTAACAGGAACTACACACGAAAGGAACGTAATAAGAATGCAGCAAATTGAAAATAACGCGGAGAGAAGAAAGAGTGTTCATTCCCAAACAAATAAATTTTAGTGCGAACGACGATATGTAACAGCTTGGGATGTTCGAAATGGTGCAGTGCAGTAGTTTCAACTGGTGTACATAGGCCTGAACATAGCCTTATAAACCCAAAACATGTTGAAATCGAGGAGGATCTTGAACGATTTGGGGTTGCGTTATGTCAGGTCAGCTAGTGGGGGCTTTGACGTACCTGACAGCGCTCCCTGCGCGTAGTGTATGACTTCTCTGGAGGAGCCTCCTGCCGGCGTGTGGGCCAGCATCACCACCAGTCGCTCCTGTCAACGAGAATACATCGAGTAGGCAACCTTATGGAACAGACTGTTACACATGCTCACGCTGGTTCGCTCGCGGATTTCTTCTTGTATTCTACCCTGAAGATGGAGGTGATATGTTCTCAGAAACGTCGGTTAACACAATATATACACGGCGCCACATCCCAGAAGACTGCTTTCTTCAACTTCAGTTCTCATTTTCTACGCTGAAATTTGCGTGGCATAATTATCTGACGCGCTATCTGCTTTTCTTTATGTATCTCCAGAGATACTGTAGGTCGCAAAATATGTGAGAACTGCGAAACCGGCCTCTGGTATACACGATAATGAACGTTAATATATTTTGGATGTGACGTTATGTACTGGTACCTCCATCATCAAGGTGGAAATATAGGCAGAGTCTGAAAAAATTGTGTGGGTATGGCAGACAGGAATGCACAGGGCTTCTGAGCGAACCAACAGAGGTAGATGGAACGGGGTGAGGAATATTGACCCTTAGAAGAGTCATTTTTCCCAGAGCAGGGTGACCGGGAAAAATATCTGAACGAAACCATAGGTATAAGGCCCACAATACAGTGAAGCTCACAAATTCGAATTTCGCCAATTCTGAATTCGCGATACTTTCTGTTCATTACGACCTTGATGATTGTCACATTGCCGCGACAAGCGACTGCAAACTACAGCTATAGCCTCACGCCAAGCGTCGAGGTCATTCAGAGGAGATGTAAATCGGTCGCGAGAGAGCAGATGAGCAGAGACCAAACAAAAACCAGTTATGTGGGCTACTTAAAATTTTTTTAAGACTGCTGTCAAAACTTACATTCTTTTATATTTTATGACGAGTAGATTTATTTTATGACAAAAATTTTATTGCATAAAAAGACACGCGTGAAGTCCCCATTTTATAACATTTTTTAACATATTTTCAGTAGAATTTTTATAATTCAGACTTTCTGACTATTTTGGACAAGGATTCGATCCAAAATAGTCTGAATTACTGTGGTATTGCTGTGTTGACATCAATTCAACAGAATGCTTGAGTATAAATATTGTATCCTGTAACGCTATGCATGTACCAGGCCGCGGAGGCCCATAGGATCGTGTGAGACGTCGAGGCTCCCACCTTTCCTAGAAAATCTGCTCACATATTGCGGTGAGGTTGTGAGGCTTAAGCTCTGGCCGCCCTTTACCCCCACGATGAATCCTGGTTCTCATTTCTCTTAGAGGCTGAGTCGAACCCAGGGCCATAGTGCGGCTGGAAGGATTAGGTCAACTAAAAAATCCAACTGTCTCATCGGGACCCGCGACCTTACGGTTAGCAGCATAGCGCCTCAGCCAACTACCCGTGAAGTTCTTAGCAGAAAACATTACTACAGTCCTGCTCTTGTACAAATGCTGAATGCACCCTGAGGATGCAAGCCGAGTGCTGGAGAAGCCACACCGCTGGACCGCGTGAATGAAACTGGGTACGAACCCTGTCCAGTTGAGTGCTCTTCCCAACGATGGAGAATATGAAGCCGACGCAGAGAGAGTTCGTGAAGACGCTGGCCTTGCACGCGGCGATGCTAATCGGATTGAGGACACCGTCCTGAGGCAGGAACTCGTTAAGCCCAATGACCTTGAACAGCTTCTGCAAACCGAGAAATGTAGAATTTGGTGGTGAGTTTGGGGCACTGGGCTCTATGAGCCTATAAACATTGTGAGATATTCTATGATATGACACTTCAAACGTCTCATGATGCAATTTTTTATTAAAAGATCATGTATATACAAAAATGGCCTAAACAAAGCCCATCCGGCCCTCTATAAAAAGGTAAAGCTATTCCTGTAACAGGCAGTGAAGTTCCATAGGGTTGTGAGACGTCGAGGTTCCCACATTTTCTAGAAAATAGGCTCACAGATGGCGGTGAGGTTGTCAGATTTACGCGCCGTCCGCCCGTTACGCCCCAGGAATATTCCTGGTACTCATTTCTGTTAGAGGCTGAGTGGACCCTAGGGACATAGAGCTGCTGGAAGGATTAGGTCGATTGAAGAATCCAGTGACCTCTTCGGGACTCGAATACGCGACCTTCCGGCTTGTAGCATAGTACCTCAACCAACTACGCCACCCCGTACCCCTCGGACCCTTTGTAACATTGTCTCATGAAGCTCATGAACGTCTTATTCTATCACAGCGGTCGTCCGGCGATTTTGAATATCTCTCTTAAATTAACTCTGTACTATTAATATTTTGTACATTTGCCTCTTTTTCTTTTGTAATAAATGTAGAAATTTTGCTTATGAAGTAAAGACACCTTGTACGGTTCTTTTTTCCTCTAGCCTCAAGAGATCCGTAACTGACATAAGGTGTGTTCTCCATCACAGCGCCATCTGCGAACCACTGATTTTGGAGCCCCGTTTCGTCAAATTATTTACGAAAAAAGAACTCACAAACCGACACTGCAGTTGCACTTTCAGAATAGCAACATAACCAGTCTTCTTGATAGAGGCATTGCCACTCACAGGACACAAGTTTCCACTGAAGTTACTCATAAAAAGTGAAAAATTATACAAATTTCATTAAATATTTTTAATTATGCTATGTCCCTAATTTTCTTGTATTTATTATATCAACTACAGGGCAAGAACTGCCACCACACCTGTAAACAGAAAGACATGTATATATTTTCTTTAATTAGCTTGTGTAATCCTCTGTATTCTGTTTATTGGCAGTTCACGAGCCGCCACTGCATTTACCTCCAGGAACATTTCGGCCATTGTCTGCACGAAGTGGATAACTGGGTTCTTTGAGGGTGTAAAAAACGCCACTGGTGCGAAGGCGAGCATGGCATATATCTTCTCATTGTATTCTGGTCTCTGTGACATCATCACGAAGAACATGGTAGTACCCATGGAGTGGCCGATATAGTAGAGTTTCTTCTGACCGGTCATCGCCAAGATGTGATCTATCTCGGCAGGGACGTCGTGAGTTCCCATTTCGTGCCAGCTGTAACACGAAAACCAGGGATAGTTGTATCGGCGCATCACGAGATGACAGGGAAGTTCTCTTCATTGACGCTATGAAACGGTAGGCGATTTCAAGTAAAAAAAATGTCGTTCGAGACAGAGACGTTAAACAAGAAGGGGTTTACTGACTGACTGACTGACTGACTGACTGACTGACTGACTGGCTTAGTTTGAGCTGATCGTTATTCAGAAATTTCTGAACATATTCTGCTTTATGAAACCCGAAGGTTCATTGCAGGATTGACATTACTTGGCCAGCTGAATCCAATCCACTTACAAAAAAGTTAAAACTATCCCTGTAACAGGCCGTGGAGGCCCATAGGATTGTGAGACGTCGAGGCTCCCACATTCTCTAGACGATTGGATCACAGATGGCGATGAGGTTGTCAGTCTTATGCACCGACCGCCCTTTACCCCCAGGAAGATTCCTGCTACTCAATTCTGTTAGAGGCTGAGTTAACCCCAGGGCTTGAAAAATTAGGTCAATTGGAAAATCCAATAACCTCATCGGGAAACGAACCCGCGACACCCCGACTTATTTGAGATCTCTCTCACTGATGAAGAGTACTATCATCTGTGATATAACGCAGTGTAATCAGCCAGCGGCAGTTCGTGACCGAGATATGTCGGTTGTAGCGGAGAGTTAGGGCCATATAAATCAGCAAATAAGGAGCCGGTGTAGCGACAGGTTACGGACTGGACAACAGAGGGGTCGGAGTTCGAGTCCCGGCAGTCTCAGGAATTTTCTCCTCTCCACGTCATCCAGACCGACTCTGGGCCCACCCAGTCTCTTATCCAATGGGTACCGGGGGGGGGGGCTTTCTCCGGGGGGAAAGTGACCGGGGCGTGAAGGTGTCCACTCATTTCCAATTATTGCCAAAGTCAACAAAATGTGGATCATGGCGTAGTGCTTAATTAGTTAAGCAAAATGACAACTTTAAATTTACCTGCTGTTCTTCCCCGGAGGTACAGCGGCCGGAACGTGAAGTTCACCAAACACTTCCATCCAGTGCCGGGGTAAAGTAAAATAGGGCTATACACTTAACAGTTATTCTACTATTGGCTCAAATAATTCGAGCTGGTTTATTATTATTATTATTATAGTCATCATCATCATCATCATCATCTTCATAATCATTATTATTAGCAGACCACAGTGGCCGCCCGGTCTGAGGCAAAATCTGCTTTCGCTCGCTCAAACACCGGAACCCTGGGTTCGAATCCCAGTCAAGGCATGGATGTCTGTGTGTGTTTATTTTGTATTTGTGCTGTCCTGTGTGCAGGTAGCGGCATTGAGACGGGCTGATCTCCCGTCGCAGGAGTCCTGCCGACTGTGTGTACGCTTAAGAAACCGAAAAAGCGGGCAAAGTCCAACAAAAGGACTGTAGAGACATAGAAAAATTATTATTATTATTATTATTATTATTATTATTATTATTATTATTATTATTAATGTTACTGTTACCTGTACTGCCAAAACTTGGGGTCGGATGGGTTGAGAGACACGTGCTTCCTGGAGTATGTGTTGCCCCGAGCGTTTGCCAGCCACACGTCGTACCCGGCGTCGGCAAGGATGAACCCTGTGGGAGAGATCGCGCACGCGTACAGACGCTGTCCGCATGTAAGGAGCCACAGCGGGTCACTCTGCTACTGGGACCGGGATAGAGCAGTCGGTAGTCCCGGTAGGGTAAATTACTCGTATTTTCTCTTCTCCACGTCGTCCAGACCGGCTCTGGGGTCCACACAGCCTCCTATCCAATGGGAACCGGGGGCCCCTTCCCCGGCGTTAAAGCGGCTGGGGCGTGAAGCTGACCACTCATTTCCAATTATTGCAGAGGTCAAGAAAATTTTGGTCACGGAGTAGTCCTTAATTAGTTAAGCACAGTGACAACTTGAACTTGCTTTCTTTTCGTAAACGAATTTTCCACCGCGTGAGGCGCTCACAGCGGTCGTTATGACGCCGTGTGGTCTTGTGGTCTGATAAGCACAGAAATGTTGTCACATTCCAGAAGAGGAAACTTCTCTTATCTGTCTGTGCTGATTTACTGTATTTACTCAAGAAGTCCCCTGCTCAATATTTCGAGATAATTAAGAATAATAACAGTTTGCAGACACCTTATCCGCACCTGTAACATGACCTAACCTAACCCATCTTGCCGGAAGGTGGCGGTTTCGATTCCTGATGTCATTTGATTTTTCAATTGACCTAATTCTTCCAGCCGCACTATGACCCTGAGGTTGACTCAGCCTCTAACAGAAATAGGCACCGGGAATATTCCTGGGGGCTAAAGGGCGACCGGCCGGCGCGTAAGGTTGACAACCTCACCGTCATCTGTGAGCCGATTGTCTAGACAAGTGCGATCCTCGACGTCTCACAGGCGTACGGGGCTCCCCCATATCCTGTTACATGGATAGCGTGACACATGACGTAGATCTGTGACATTGAAAGCATCAACGATTCTCTCACTAGCTGAAGGGACACGTCATATAGTCATACGTTTATTAGGGAGTACTGAATGGGAAAGGATATGGAAGGAGATGTTTTCACATAACTTTAGATATTATGCCAGAATCTTCCTGGAGAGACTGAGAAAAACCTTGAGAATCATTATGCAGACTGGCCGATACGTGGACCCGAGGTATGAGACAAATATCTTTCGAACATTTGTCTGTGGTGATATATATATAAGGGAGGAAGTAGGGAATAAATAAACAGAGAGAGAGAGGTCAGACAGAGGTCATGTGAATGACGTACCGAGGGACTTGTCTGGGCCCAAGACGACCCAATCGAAGGAGCTGCAGAGAAAGGCATGGTGAAGCAGCACGGCTGGTCTTGGCGAAGCCGTTGTTTCCGGCCTCCCGTGAGGAATTCGATGGAGCTCCAAAATGTATCCCTCCTGAGTCTGGACACTGTGCCTTTGGACTGGGTACCCGTACTTGGCGATCAGCTCTGGCTGAAAATACATGTATTCATGGAGCAGCGATATTCTTAAGAAGAGTCGAGGCACGAAATTTCTCACCGTTTTTAAAGCCCAATTGCTTTCACAAGAATCGTGCACTAAGGCCACGTGAGCCAAACATAACAGCATCACGTTCTGTTGCTTCGAGCTTAGTTCTAATTTTAATCCCTAGGGGCCTTCCAAGTCGCCTCTGTCAATCACGTTTTACGACTGGAGTTTTCTACGCATGTCTCATCCGTTTTATGGCTGCTGCAAAATCTCCACTCCCTTATAACACCTATTTGAGCGATGTAATTTTGTATGCTAAGTAAAAAATTATGTTTGAACTCATCACTAGATTTTTTTTTTCAGTATCACTTTAATTTTTCTCTCTTGAATTCAAATATTCTCTTCAACACTCTGTTCTCATACACAACTCAGTCTGTGTTATTTCCTTAGGACAAAGAACTAAGTTTCTCACGTATGAAATGCATAAGAATTTATAACTTCATACTTTTAATTGTTTAGGTTTTGAGGGGAAATTCGAAATAGGACGACAGCTAAAGTTCCCCGAATCCAACTTCATCTGAAATTGTCATGACAGAACGTTCATCCTATTTCTGTTTATCTTTTAAATCAGAATGGTCCTGAGGATGGAAACAGATCCACTTTCCGAAACGTTGTGTTCTTTATAATACAAGTCGACGAAGAAAATCCAGAACACAGTAATTCCGAATCCAAGTTACATATTATTGGTATCCGTAAATGAAGCGAGAAATATTCGCCTCTTTATTTACGATAACAATAAAAGTGACCACGGTGTTGTGAGACCGACCTGGAAAGATGAAAGTTCTATATCCTTACCGAGGTGAGATAGATATCTGCGTCATTGTCGTCAGACATTTGTGAGGATGCGTTCCTGTGGCTGCCTGGCCAGCTCAGAATCAGCAGTGCAAGTGTCAGAAGGCTGTGCATTGTAACTGCAACCTGCCGCACAGAAATAAGCAGAAGTGCTGTTAGTAGACCTGATACCACAGGCCAATGTTCTCTGAGCAATCAGATGTTACTGCTGCGAGTATGAAACACAAATAAGCCGACGACATATTTACTAAGGAAACACCAGGGACCACCTTCCCCATCTTCTTCACTTATCGCACTGCTGGCTGGATGTAAGTATGCAATCGGGAGGTTCCTGCACCGACCCTCTCGACGGTTTTCTTGATTTTGCTCCGCCCTCAAGTAAATGCTGAGATGGCAATGAAATTCCGAAATGTCGAATGTCTTAAATTTGAAAATACGTTCACATTCATGTTTCTGAAACTTCACCATTTTGTACATATTTTTGCAGATGTACAGCAAAAGCATGAAACTTCAGAAATTACCCAAAGCCCCGAATCGCATGAATCACTTCGACATTTTTAATTTCTCAGAAGTATTCAAATCTTTAAATATGTTTGGGGCTATTTTTATATTTTGAAGTTTTGGAAGAATTTTAGGTCTTTCAAAATTGTTAACAGTCCTCTAAATTTTTTCAAATTTTCGCAAATTTTAAATGTCCTGGTAACGTTCTCAAGTTTCCGAATCTTTGGAATTTCATAATTTTTTCAATATATGGAAACGTTAACCGTTTTACAATTTTCAGAGACTTTGTAATTTTTGGGCAATTCTTTAAGATACTTAAATATTCTAAGTGTTACAAAATTATTACAATTTCCGAGAGTTTTGAATATTTCTAATGGTTGAAAGTTTCTGAAACGTTAATTCCCATGTTCACAGCTCCTTATATGTTCGAAATATTGTTAAATAACGATATATTACAAAATATACGACGTTTTTGAACTTTGATCATTTTCAACTTCCGGTGAAATTGGATTATTTTAGGTTCAGATATTTTACCATAGACGATATTACTTAAATTATAAAAATTAGAATATACAAATTATAATTTTGAATGTAGTTTTGTATGGGGAAGGAACTTGGTCTCTGACATTAAGGGAGGAACATAGACTGAGGGTGTTTGAGAACAGGGTGTTGAGGAGAATATTTGGACCGAAGAGAAATGAAGTGACAGGATGTTGGAGAAAACTGCACAATGAGGAGCTTCATAACTCGTACTCTTCTCCAAGTATAATTAGAATGATAAAGTCAAGGAGGATGAGGTGGGCAGGGCATGTAGCACGAATGGGGGAGACGAGGAATGCATATACGGTATTGGTGGGAAAGCCAGAAGGAAAGAGACCACAGGAAAGACAACGCGTAAGTGGGTGGACAATACTAAAATGGATATTAGAGAGATAGAATAGAATTATATGGATTGGATTGATCTGGCTTAGAAAAGAGACCAGTGGGAGGTTCTTGTGAACAGGTAATGAACTTTCGGGTTCCGTTAAATGCTGAGAAGTTCTAGAGCAGCTGCACAACTGGCAGGTTCTAAAGAAGTGCTCAGCCCCATGAGTGGCTGAGTGACATTACTTTAATTTCGCTCATCAAAACACTAAGCACCCACTTAAATATTTGAACGGAGTTCAAGCAGATTTGGGGAAATGTTAGGTTAGGTTATGTCAGGTCAGGTTAGTTTAAGCTACGTTTGATTGGTATTACCGACCACTGCTCGCCCAAACGTGCCATAGATTTCAGCATCCAACAGCGCATTCTAGTGCGTATTAGTTCATAGCTTCGTAACTTTGGAATGATGATTAGGTTGGCTCATGAGACAACAGCGCATCGACCTGAGCATACCGCAAACCTTGGGAATATGGGGTTCATTTAGGTTACTAATTCAATTACGCATCAATCTGGACATGAACCTATGCATGACGTTGCCTGATTAGGTTAAGCTGGCGCATCCGTCCACTGTGCATTTGCGTTCGCATTCGGGCATAGCACACTAAGGTTGGTTTACTTTAGGATACGACAGGTTAGGTAACTATTAGACTACTGCGCATGTTCTTGCTCTTGCGTTTGCGCATTCTGTCAGAGCTTAGTTAGACTGGGGTTTGGCTAGTTTAGGCTGCTCGTATTGTAGGCTATTTAACGGACTTTTCAGTAATGAGACACAGAGTCGGATGGTAGGACGGTAGGTGGATGATAAAGCTGGAGTCCTTGCTTAACCGAAATATTATCTGCCATTTTCCTGGAGGAATTGAGGAAGTCGGTGTCCCGGCCGAGATTAGAACCGAGCCCCTCTCTAATACAAATCTGGACAGTTACCCCTAGACCAACCTACTTGGTCATTTAGGTTATGTTAGGGTATTGCAGCTCAGTCTGTAGCTTCGAACCACTGACCATCGCAATCCGGAGAGCCATTTGGCGTCTTAATGCTTCGCAAAATCTCCGATTTATGAAATTTTCGAAAATATCCATACTATATATATTTCTTCAAACTTTCAATTTTGTTAAAGTTCCGATGGAGAATATATATATTGTAACGTGGATGGACACAGCGTTGCTAGGTAACTGACCGCGAAACACCTCGCGACCGAATACACGCAAGGCAACAAGTTTAATGCCGCGTTTTTTATGGAGTGCGTGCCGCGACCGTTGCTATACAATCGGTCGGTAAACACGTTCCAACAATATAGGGTGTTTTCTTTGTGGTCCGCGAGAGGCCTATGTAAGGGGATTCAATGCACGGCTTGGCAGCGAGGGGAGGGATTGACTAGTCGGCCAAGTCAGGTACTGTGTTGTTTTCGCCGTTCTAGGGTGTGCTGTGCCGCGTAATTTATACTTCCTGTGTCTGTGACGTTGATGTGGGCGTGTTCTGATGTATTATGAGGTCGAACATGTTACGTTGGCTATTACTTTCTTTTGTGAGTTCTTGTTCTTCTATCAGTTTATTTACATTCATGATGCCTCTTTTTTTTTTTTTTGGCTTTTTCAATCATTTCCATGATTACTGTCATCGGCCCGTACTGATGGTGTTTATTTAGTACGTGTTGGGCAAATGCCGATTCGTCCTTGTTTAGTCTTATGTTTCTTATGTGTTCTTTGTATCTTGTTAGATTTCTACCACTTTGGCCGATGTATACTTTTTGGCAATTTTGGCATGTTATTTCCTATATCCCACTTTGTTCGTAGGGGTTTAGTTCTCGTTTTTCATTTATTAGTTTACCTATTGTGTTGGCTGTTTTGAAGGCTATCTTTATGTTAGTGTTTTTGAATAGTTTTGTGATTTTTCGTATGTAATTTCTTGTATAAGTAGAAGTGACCCATTTTGTTCCTTTTCGTCTTTATTATCCGGGTTACGCATTTTTCACTTAAGTTTGTTATATAGATGAGTGATGTCTTCCTTTCTATAGCCATTATTTAGTGTTATATTAATAATAGTATTTAATTCTTTGTTTTTAGCATTTTCCTCAAGGGGTAGTGTAAGAAGTCTGTGTATCCAATTTTTATATGCTGGCAATCTTTGTTCTTTAGGGTGGCATGATTTATTATTTATTGTTATGTCTGTCGTTGTGGGTTTTCTGTATATTTCCATTTCTATTTGTCCGTGTCTATTAAATATATTTAAGTGCAGGTAAGCTAAATTTTTTAAACACTTTAAAAGTTTTAATACCAGGAAGGCTGCTGTGATTGTGAAAGGTTGAATATTGTTGAACCGTTACCTACCCGGACTGTAACCAGTCCGAAATTTCAGGAGAGGGAAAGGGGGAGGAGTTCATTCACTTGTTGTTGTGGGAAATACACGCACGAATCGAGAGCTATGCTGACTGAGTTTAACAATTACTATAACGTAATAAAGAAATAGATATACATTTAACAATAATAAAGGAAATAAAACATATGAAGTGAATACCAGAAATAATATTACAAGAAACCTAGCATGACCCACTCCGGTCATTCAAGCCAATACCTTATTCATGGGACACCGCCCATTTCACTGACCATTTAATTTCACAAACCAAGGAAAGAAAAAAATAACAATACTCACATGTGTATATATACTCACAGGGTACCCATACGTACATATTTTTATAAAACACCTTTGCCTCGCCATTGCTCCATAGCTCGGCAAAGGGGCCCTCTCCCGGGACACACAGAGCTGACTTCCAAAAATAAATCTAATTTTGAAAAAGAAAAGAAATCAAAGAGAAATTTCTAAGAGCTGGGACAACCACCCTGCACGACCGCCACCCAGGGAAAGAGAGCGATCGTTCGTGTCATCTTGCCACGACAAGAAGAGGAGGAAGGAAAAAAGAGGGGGAGGGTCACGTGACATCATTGAAAAGAACTTTACAAGAAATATATGAGCATTGGCTGTGGTTGACTGCAATTCCACGACGCCTTTCACGGGTCGAACCCTTCGAATCGTCTTCAGACGGTTCATTGTGTACATTGTGTATTCCAGGCATTATATGTGTATGTAATTTAGCACTCAGAACACCTATTGTGATTGTGGTTTCCGAATAAGTATTGATGTTCCCTCTGAAGATGATCCGTAAGTGTGTGTGTGTCTCTCTCTTTCTCTCTCAAATCTCAGTTCTGAGACAGTAAAATATGGTCGCGAGTCCCAAGGGACTCGGACCCGAGAAAGACTGCGCTGGCAAGAACCAGCAGCATATACAAAAGACAGACCCGTCACCTCGTCAGAGAAGGCGCCCCACAGAAACAAGACCGTAACTGTCAAACGATAATAATTAATATCTGGCCATGAGCCCCAAATGGGGCTCGACACCAAGACTTACTGACTGACTGATCGTCAGTCGCAATGTAACTCTGACTGTGACTCTGACTCTGGCTTGGCAGCGTTGCCTAACAACGCCTCTGTAACCACTGCGATTGCGCAACAGAGGGCAAGCTGCGTTTGCCGCTTCTCCAATTGATGGTTCTTAGGAGGCGGGGCGAATACCTCCACCGTGACCCTGCGAGTCGTAGGAGGCGACGATAAGGGAAATCTCAATTCTGAGAGAGTAAAATATGGTCGCGAGTCCCAAGGGACTCGGACCCGAGAAAGACTGCGCTGGCAAGGGCAAGCAGCATTTACA